GTATCATTAAAAAGGTTTGTGAGTCATCCAAATAATTTTAATTAAATATTAAAAAATCATGTATTTGACCGAAATATCGATCTCAAGCGCTGCTATGGAAATACCGTCAGGCACAATCGGTGTACTATCTAGTATTTTAATATTCCTGGTTTTTTTTCGGGTAATTATGACTACGTTTACACGGCTTCCAACTTCGACTTAGTAACGCTAATGTTATAACTCCGACTTAAGATAAGTTGCGTTTACACGTTCACGCTTATGTTATTCCCACCAAGCTGAAATAACTTAACAACTATCGAGTGAAGTGAGTTAAGGATTTCCATTAGTATCAACATAAAAGTATAAAAAATGAAAAGCTTGTTCGTGATAGAGTGTAATCTGAATGTAAAAATAATAGTATTTAAATAACTTACCAAATAAAATTAACTTTTTAGGTTATATTATGAATTTAGAAGTCATAGAATAATTATTTATATAGTAAAATATTTAACTCAAAGTGAAATTTTGGGTGAAAGTTAAAATTTTAGGTTATCAATCGAGGTTATTATTAATCGAGGAGAATATGGAAAGCATACACTTGTTTGTTGCCACATATTTGAAAATTGTAGAAAATGTGACTCTGCAACATATATTACATATCCTAAACATTTTGACTAAACGGCGGAGACGTTCAAAAGAATATATATTACAACACTTGTTAAGCTTAACTTCACCAAATCATTTCCTTGATCTTGGACCTATATTACAATTTCCACGACAAAGAGGAATATGGATGAAAGAACGAAGTTTTGACTGGTGGCATCGAATTGTTAATGGTCATTTTAAGGATGAAGACTGGATAGAAACCTTTAGAATGACAAAAGAAACTTTTTTCTTTCTATGCGATGAATTACGAGAACAGCTCGCTCCAAATATAAACCAGATAGGAACCCGAGAACCAGTATCGGTGGAAAAGCAGGTTGCTGTTTGTCTGTATTTCTTATCTAGCTGTTGTGAATATCGCATAGTTGGAAATAATTTTGGGATTCATAAGGCAACTGTATGGAAGTGTATTCATAAAGTAATTGATGCAATTAATGCAGAACTAATGAGTTCTTGCATAACTATGCCTGACAAGAATGAGTGCCATAAAATAGCTACGGTTTTTGAGAAGAAAACGCATATTCCACAATTAATTGGAGCAATTGATGGAACACATGTTCCCATT